TTTGTTTACCAGCTGTCAAATGGAGCTTGAAGCATCACACTGCGGTTGTGTATTTGCTCACGTACAGCTGAATCTCAACTCAAGTGGGCATGTGAGGGTAGATAGGCAAACACAAACTGCTGCAGCTATGTAGTTAAATGAAATATACACATTCTGGTGTACATTTCCAGTTAGCGTCCAAATATTTGAATGTTTACTTGTGGTATTTTAACTATGCAGTTGGATATACTTTCATAATCACTGTTGATTTGTTGAATCATCTGCACATCTGCACATCTGCACTGATGTTTATGTTCATGTTGATGAGCGTGCTTTGCGCTTCTAAGACGTGATCCTCCTCCATCATTGCCATTTCCGTTGCGACATAACTGCACGAGGACAGGAAACTGAGCTATCGTGGAGGTCACTGAGGCCATTCTGGCCCACAATGCACTGCACTCCCAGGCTCATGTCAGCAGAGCATTGTAGTGCTTCCCAAGGCGGCTCTCTGTGGACATTGTTTCTGCAAATCTGTTCCAGCAAGAATATTTACTCGAGTCGACTGCAGCCTTTCACCCTGCTCTTGTGTCAACAGCTCTTTGGATGTTTCGCTGCCATCACATACAAATATTATCCTTCAAAACATTTTGTCGACAGATCTCTCAAAGGTTCCGCTCAACAGAGGGTGAACTTTATATCTGTTTTCACATATTACCAAATACATTAGTGGGGGAGTAGAGTCTCACACCTTCAAAGAGTCTCAGAGGGAGTGTTTGCTTCTCTTAGAGCGCTGATTTCTCTCCCTTTGGTACTTAGTAGTTTAACAGGAAATGGAAAGAAACGAGTGATGGCCAGGTGGACCATGCAGGCAGGTTTGAACAGATGGAGAGTGGGGAAAAAGTGGAGTTGAGTTCACTTTCACTTTAATCCTAAACGGCAACCTCATGGGTTAAAGCCAAAATGAAAAGACAAGAACTGAACATGTTTCTGCTCTTAGTGCCTATTTTTAATATAGTTATGGTTTGCTGTCCAGTTAAATGTACAAGCTAACCATGCAAGAAGTCTGTACTCTAGTTTTGGTAAGTGAAATTTCAGTATTTTATGTCCATAAAAAATAAAAAGTAGTTGAGATCATCTTTTTTGCAAGCAAAAACCACAATTAGATTTGACAGCATTTTTTTGTAAGATAATAGCAGATGGAATCAGCATGGATATGAGGGTAGGGTCTGGGAAATGCCTCAGTGAGGACTGGTGGCAGCTCTTGGGCTGGGCCGATCCCCATGTACTAAAAAGGGGCGTGAGGGAGGGCGAGTGAGTCACGAAAATGAGAACAAGTCTTCTACAGTGTAGGAAAGCATACATAGCTGGAGAACAGGAAGAGGAGTGTATGAGGTACGGTCCCAGTCCTGAAATTGAGATAAATTATCTTCAATACTTATACTTTATAGTTAATTCCCATTAGGTTTCCATTGAATTACCCTCTTTTGACCTACAAATACAGAGCTTATGTCTGTTAAAGAGAAACACAACTAATCTTACTTTTAGAAACCTGTTTGTAAGTATTGT